TAAAGTTATGGCCATTTTCATGGGCTGTGTGTTTGCCTACAACTTGGTGATGTCTTTCATCGGTCCAGAAAACATGAACATTAGTGAAGAGCTCAATGAGGCGGACCCTGCAGCTGTGTTAGACACAACTTTAACCGATAAAGCCTCACAGGAAAGAGTGGAAAACGCCAGCATCGTGCACGTTGGAAAGGATTACAAATAGATGTACAATAGATAATTTTTTTTTAACAACGTTCTATCTCTGCGTGTTACAAGTCTTGATCGTGAACCGCATTGTTATATAAATACTCAAGAGTAGGTAACCCGCCTACAACTTCTCAGCAGTGGTTGGTCTACCGACGGTGGTGACGTCGTTGTAGATCAAAGTGGTGACGAAGTCAGAGTACTTCTCACCCAAAGCCTCTGGCTTGAAGTAGTCCAAAGCTGGCTTGAACTTGTTGCCGGCTGGGGCAGACTTGGCCAACTTGGAGTACTCCTCGTCCAAGAGCTTGGCAACGTACTCCTTGGTAACCTTCTGACCCTGGTCAGTCACGGCACCGTGAGTAACCCATTGCCAAAGCTGGGTTCTGGACACCTCGGCGGTGGCAGCGTCCTCCATCAAGTAGTTGATAGGAACACAACCAACGTTACGCAACCAGGCCTCGATGTAAGACAAACCGATGATACAGTTGACTCTGATACCCTGCTCGGTGATCTTGGCCTCTGGCACGTAAGGGCTCAACAAGTCTCTGGCAGTGACAGGCTTGTAAGGAGTCTTTGGTGGGACGTTGATCTGGTTTGGACCCTTCATGTGCTCGTTGAAGACCTTCAACACAACTGGGACCAAAGCTGGGTGGGCAACCCAACAGGAGTCGCAACCAGCCTGGACCTCTCTCAACTTGTCCTTGGTGACGTTCTCCAAAGCGGCTCTGTTTCTGGCCTCGTCATCCTTGATAGGAATCTGAGCAGCCATACCACCCAAAGCGTGCACCTGTCTCTTGTGGCACGTGTGCACCAACAACTTGACGTATGAGGCCATGAATGGAGAGGCCATGGTGACCTGGGATCTGTCTGGCAAGATGAACTCCTTGTGCTTTCTCATCGACTTGATGAAAGAGAAGATGTAGTCCCATCTACCACAGTTCAAACCACCAATGTGCTGTCTCAACTGGTAGATGATCTCGTCCATCTGGAAAGCAGCTGGCAAGGTCTCAATCAAGACGGAACCTCTGATGGTACCTCTTGGGATTCCAATGTAGTCCTGAGAGAAGTTGAAGATGTCATTCCACAACTTGGCCTCCAAGTGGTGCTCCATCTTTGGCAAGTAGAAGTATGGACCGAAACCACGCTCCAAAGTCTCTCTGGCGTTGTTGAAGAAGTAGAGGGCAAAGTCGAAGATACCACCAGAAACTGGCTCACCGTCAACCAAGACGTGCTTCTCCTCCAAGTGCCAGCCTCTTGGTCTGACAATCAAGGTTGGAATGTGTCTCTTTGGGTCCAAGTTCAACTTGTACTGCTTACCGTTGGAGGTGAAAGCCAAGTTTCTGCGGACACCGTCGTACAAGTTGACCTGACCGTCAACCAAGTTCTTCCAGGCAGGGGTCAATGAGTCCTCAAAGTCAGCCATGTAGGTGGCAACGTTGGAGTTCAAGGCATTGATGACCATCTTTCTGTCGGTAGGACCAGTGATTTCACATCTTCTGTCCTGCAAGCCCTTGGCCAATGGAGGACCAGTCCAGGTAGGGTCCTCTCTGATGTGGGCAGTCTCTGGCAAGAAGTCTGGCAAGACACCCTCGTCTCTCAACTTCTGCTGCTCTTGTCTGGCAGCCAACAAACGCTTTCTCTCACCATTGAAGGCACGGTGCAAAGTGGCCACAAGACCCAAGGCCTCCTGGTTGAAAATGTGCTTAGCCTCCTGGGGCACTGGAGCCAAAATCTGGACGCCTTGCAATTTCAGGGATGTGGTTGGGAAAGGGTTAGACATTTTTTATTTTGATAATTTATAAAAAATTTTCTATCCCTTGTCGGCGGACGGGGTGCTCTTTATATATGCGCTCACAATGAGCGTATGGGTACCCCAGATTCCCGTTCCAGCGGATGTAACCCTGACTAGCAATCAGAGTCAGGACTGGGCCAACGCCTGTGACAGTATCGCTTAACTATGGTGGTGCACGGGTTTTTCGTCCACCACCCGCGCTCCCCAGAGGCTCCGATAACCACCAGGTATCTATGTGCCTGCCGCTCTTACGTACGGTGACCGGGCGCGCCTCGGACAAATGGATATATCTTGGCTATATCCTCACCTGCCCCGGCCTTTTTCCCGAGGAAACGCTCTTGTGCATGCACTTTTCGAATCGGTCTCACCGGTTCTGGTACACGTACAGCTACAGTGCTCATGTAAGGGAGTTCGTCAATTGCGGTTTTTATTTACTGCTTGGCCCACTTGATGCCCTCCTTAGATGGCGTGATGACGCCATGCTGAGCTGGGACGTAATTGATTCTGTGGTAGGAGTTGAGGTTCTTTCTCAAGACGAACTGGAAGCAAGCGGCACCGCCCTGTCTGGCAGTGATGGTGGAGGAAGACAAGAAGTATTCCCAAATTCTGAACCACTTGATACCGTACTTGTTGATCACGTTGTCCTTGTTGCCCATCCAGTTTCTGTACCATCTCCACAAAGTAGCAGAGTAGGAGACACCAACGTTCTCGACAGAGACAATCTCAAAGCCAGCGCTCTCCAAAGCACCAACAACGAAAGCAACAGGGGTCGACGCGTCAGCACCTGGGAAAATGTACTTGTTCATGAACAAACCCCAAACCAAGTCCTCGTATTGCCATGACTTTCTCAAACCAGCGTACTGCAAGAAGAAAAGACCGTCATCTTCCAAAGAGTCGTAGACCTGAGCCAAGAAGGTACCGAATCTTCTGATACCAACGTGCTCAGCCATCTCAAGACAGGTAATCTTGTCGTACTTACCACTTGGCTTCTCGGACTTAGGAGCATCTCTGTAGTCGCAGCACACGATCTTCGATTGATCTGGAGACACACCGTAGTCGGACAAGAGCTGATTGCCCCACTTGGTCTGGTTCTTACCCAAGGTGATACCAGTGATTTTAGAGCCGAATTGGGAGGAGCCAAAAGTAGCCCAGGTACCCCAGCCGCAACCCAAGTCCAAGACGTGGTCGTTCTTCTGCAATTGAATCTTGGAAGCAACGACATTCAACTTGTTGTCTTGCAATTCCTCCAAGGTCTCCTCCTTGGTGATGTCAGAGATGAGACCCGAGGTGTAGATCATACGAGGACCCAAGAACCAGGTGTAGAAGTCGTCACCTCTGTCGTAGTGATCTCTAACCTGCTCTTCATCCTGAGATTGCGAGTGCATGATGACTTCGGGGATCATTCCCAACAAGAAGAAGCGGTAAAGAGACAAAGTGAAGCGGAAGTTAGCCCAATCGTGTCTGTACTCCATGATGTCCAAGGCGTCACCCTTGAACGACACCTTACCCTCAAAGTACAACTCGTGGAAAGTCTCCATTGGGATCTTGGTACCCTTGCCACCGTTAGAGTCGATGTACTTGGCCTTCAATTCTGGAGTGTGGAATTCCAAATAGTGGGAAATTGGCTTGCCTGGGTACTTGACCTTCTCGTTAAGACGAGGACTGAAGGTGGACAAAAGGGTCCAGTAGGCCATCAAGATAGGAACTGCCAACAAAAGGGCAAAAAACAACCAGGTCTTGAAGCCAAGGCCCAATTTCCTCACCACCAACCATGGAATACCCACCAAGAGGGCGATCATGGCGGTGTTGCTGAAGTTTCTGCTACCTGGACCATCAGCTGGCAATGGAGCATTGTAAATGGTAGGGGAATCCGTGGTAAGAATTCCGCTTTCATCCGAAGCTGGAGGTTGTGGCTTTGCCTCGGGGGTCTTGATGAACTCGACACCAGACAACATGATTCAATTGAAAGTTAGAAAGAGAGACACGCTGGAGAGCGATTTTGTTCACCGCGAAAAAAAAAGTTACCGGGCAGTGCGTGTCGCCCTGGATTCCACGCCCACCGGGTAAAGTTAAAAAAATGCAGACGGTTAGATCGGCAAGGGAATCGAGGAAATTATTCAATTGGCCATGAAATATATTTGTTGAAGGAAAGAGGATAAAATTCCATTTGTGTCTCAACGCATACGCCAAAATGTGACCTGAGTTCGAGACTTGGATTTAGCACCTCGCACGATCCATTGTAAAGGGTCTTTTACTCAGGGGACATTTCCAGGTTAGAAGGCTGAATGGGTATTTGGTAAAGACAAGACGCATATGCTCGTTTGCAGCCATTTCGCGGGAGGCAGTGGGCCAACGTTGGGCCTAGACGCTGAGAAGTCGTAATATCGGCCTGTGGGATGATGTAAATCTGAGTGTTTTCAAAGTAACGGAATTGTTCTTGGTTTTGGGGCATTCCGTCGCTCTAGCAATTAATTGAGTTACAAATGATTGAAGATGAGAGAGATGCAGATGCGTGTATTTTGACACATTCCACAGTGACACAGCCTGAGCCGAGGTGGGCTTATTTTTCACTGAAGAGTAGAGATCCTAAAGCTTAACCTAGCTTCAGTGCAACTGGGGTTGGGTGGGATCACCCCTGGCAAAGTATTAGGTAAGTAGAAATCGAAGATCCTAATTCAGCCTCGACTTTGAAATAAGGAGCAGATCAAACTCAATTGTAGCCTCTTCCAATTTCTGCTAGCTCGAAGTTTACTGCAATAGATCTTATACCACGTTCCCACGTCTCCTTGATTCTCGTGATGCACCATGTGAGACACCCGCGTACCCCTGGTATGCTTCAACGTGGATGTCCAACCTCTAGAGTAATCACTTTTCACCATAGATTAAAATTACAAAATTTTCGAGGAATTGCTCATTGCACTTCACTCGAGAGTCCGAGTCTGGGTGGACCGCGGTGAGCACCATCTCTGCACACGGCGTAAGCATACTACATTCTAGAGAAACAAAGGCATCGATCCACGCTAATATGGGCTCTACCAAAGACCTGGAGGTCGTGCTTCTAGATTCCGATTCTGATCTGGAGCTTCAGCATGTGTCGAAACGGCAAAAGTTAGACCCTCTTCCGCCTCAGCCACAACCTCTGGAGGTTGTTATTCCTCCGTTTCAAAAGCCTTTTCAAGAGTCGGACTCCGAGAGTCCAGTTCCAGAGCAGGTTCCGGCGGCAGAAGCGTACGATGAGAAGAGTACCTCGCCAGCACTCTCGGAGTCATCCGAAATCACGGGTCAGAGCGTGAATTCCCTGGATCTAGATGAACTCAGCGCTGGTGACCTCCCATCTAATGGGCAGGAGAACGGCAACGGCTTAACTACAGATCAACTTGCAATGAAACGAACAATTTACGAGACACGGAAGTTTTTGAAGACGAAAGGCATCATGGCGTTCCTTGAGGAATATCTTCCGCCCACAGCGCTGAGTGACGAAATCTACAAGTTGATTCTCAAGCTAGGCTTCAACCCAAGGAACTTGCCTCCTTTCGAAAAAGGTGAGAACCTTCTTCAACTTATCAAACTCCTTCATTTGGCAATGAAACGTGTTCGTCAGTTGCGATCACGTCTAGACAATTTCTATAGGGTTGAGGACGCCTTGAACAAGATTAAATCCGCTCAAAAGGTGCTTGTCATAACTGGTGCTGGTATCTCCACCAGTTTGGGAATTCCCGATTTTAGATCCTCGAAAGGTTTCTATTCCAGAATTTCCCATATGGGGCTTACAGACCCGCAAGAGGTATTCGACTTAGAAATATTCCACACCGACCCGTCTATCTTTTACTCCATCGCACATATGATCTTACCGCCAGACAACATTTATGCCCCGTTGCACAAGTTCATTAGATTATTACAGGACAAGGGCAAACTATTGCGAAATTATACCCAAAATATCGATAATTTGGAAGCAAACGCCGGTATACGTCACGACAAAATGATTCAATGTCATGGCTCGTTTGCATTCGCCACTTGTGTTACCTGTGGCTACCAAGTTCCTGGCGAAGCTCTCTATCCCACTATGCGCAATAAAGAGATAGCATACTGCCCAAACTGTGCCAAGGCTAGAGAGAAACTCATGAATAGAGACGATTCTTACGTTGAAGAAAGCTATGGTGTTATGAAACCAAATATCACATTCTTTGGAGAGCCCCTCCCTAGGGCTTTCCATGACAGTATAAATCAGGATCTCAAGGAATGCGATTTGATCATCAGCATAGGTACATCACTCAAGGTGGCCCCGGTGGCCGATATTGTCGACAAAGTACCTGCCGATGTTCCGCAGATTCTCATCAACAGAGATCCTATCCATCATTGCAATTTTGACATCAGTTTCTTGGGCTACTGTGACGATGTGGCAGCTTACTTGTGTAATAGATTGGGCGACGAGTGGGCCCTAGATCATCCTCAATACGAGGAGTTATTGTGTCCTTCAAGAGATAACCTTCAGCTTGAGACAACCAAGGAACGCGGAGTTTACAACATAGTCAATCTTCAACGCGAGTCCAAAATGGCGCAGGAGCCTCCAGTGGCTCCTGAAGAGCCCGACTTGGTTGTCTTGGAACCTACCATATAATCTCGTGCATATAGGTAATCTTGATGGTGGGTGGTTTTGCACCCGATGTCGCGCATCACCATCGCTTGAGCTGGAACGGTGAATACCAGCTGCAATAGAGATATATAATAATGCTACTTTATGGTAGACTTCTGATCCTCGCTCGAAATAGAGGTTTATATGTTGGTCTTAACAGAACTAATTGCATCAGGTACAACAGCAGTTGGAAAGACACCCTTGAAACCCGGCACACCGTCAGAGAGGCGGAAGATTCACAAGATAATCAATTGTTCAATGATTTGGTGAAAGAGGTAGATGCGAAGGAGAAGCGCAATGACGACTCTTTTGATGACATCTTCAAAGACATCATTCTAGATCCCAAGCAACCCTCATCTGAAGCCAAGACAGAGATGGACAAGATCTTCGCCAACATCTCTCGAGGTCAGACATCCGAAAAGCAAGAGCTCTATCAAGACACCAGTATGGATATTGACATGACAGATGAAACACTGGTGCTGGACAAAAAAGCCGAAGACCCCAATATTGTTCAGAAGGAGAAAGAGCTTTTCATGAACATCTTCAAAACATACTCGCAGAGAGAACCCTCCAAAGAAAAGAAAAAATCATCTCATTCAAATCTACTATGGAATCTTCGGGAAGCTATGAGTAGTAAGAGCACAGAACTTGACCGCCATATTTCTCGAGCTATGAGGCCCTCACAAGGTAATAAATTGACTCAAGACACCATTGACCGCATCTTTCTGCATTTTGATGACTCTTTAAAGCCTACCTATACTGCATTACTGACCTTTGATCTGAGAGAAAGCTATCTTGACTTCTTGAAGGGTGTAATTCAAAGGTTCAAAGGGAGTCGTTCGCGTCAGAGAGAGTTCTTCTTAACCATGAAAAAGGGCGAAGCTTTGCATGATTTTACTGACAGATTCACCAAGTTGAGTCAGAAGGTAAAGCTTAAAAACGAGGAACTGCCGCTTGAACCGGTTCTTAATGCTTATACTTTGCCATTGTTGTTCAATTACATCTTGAAGACTCTCATCACGAAGTTTTATGACGGCCAGCTCGCCCTCACATTGTTTAACTCGTTGAAAAGAGACCTCGATGTATATACAGTGGTCTGTAATCAAGACACTTACAACGAGGTGCTCAAGCTTTTTTGGGCATACTATGGCAAACTGAGCTTACAAGAGATCGAAATGACGTTTCTCGAGATGAAAAATAATGGATTTGTCGGCAACCTTAACACATTCAGAGTTCTCAAGGAAATTATCGTGAGATATCATCTGATTAAGTTAGGACTCTCAGACCTGACACTGTTCTGGCTGAGAGAAGACGATAAAAGAGTGAAAAACCTTGAGAGGAATCTTCACAAACTAGCCTCTCAGCTTAAGGCCATTCAATATTATTGTACATAGAATACTTTCTTTACTTCTCTCATAATATATTAGCTTGCGGTACGGGTGTGGCTATGATGTTTATAACTATTATGTAACATACGCACTGTTATATCTTTATAAGCAATTCAGCAGACCACTGAACAATCACAGCATGGCAGAATTTGGAGGATATCAAAGAAATTACACGGGTCAGGACTCGTATCTCAATCCAGGCTCAATGTCTCCCGGCCTGTCCCAATACAAGGTTCCCAATATTAACATTCACAAAGAAGCTGGCTCTCCGGTCAATGCCAACGAATTGCTCAGCAGGTCATCGGATATAAAGAAACAGCTATCTCAATCCTTTCAGGGTGGAGGAAGCACGGGTGGAATCCAGAAGCCACTGTCAAGGAGAAATTCCGCCATCCATGTCAAAAACGAGGATGACGACGAAGACGATCAAGGAAACGAAAGAAAACGCAGAGATAACATAAATGAAAAAATTCAAGAATTGCTAAGTCTTGTGCCTCCCGTCTACTTTCAAGAACCAGCAGCAAGGGACGAAGATGACGGTGGAACGAAAAGCACGGGCACCAAGGACGGAAAACCCAACAAGGGTCAGATTTTGACAAAGTCCGTTGAGTACATTCAATATTTGCAAAATCTCATTGACGAGAATAACAGAAAGGAGGTTGAGTTACAACTCAAACTTAAGTCTCTCAAAATGCAGCAAGAAGGTAGAGGTAATGCTCCCCTTTCGGCAGATACAACCAGCGCGGAGTTAGCACTAGGAGAGATTGGTGTTGGACCACACTCCAGAAAGTATTTCGAGGAAGTCCTCTATCAGTCAACGGGCAACAAAGCTAGTTAGCCTACGAGAATGCTCTTTATCATTCTATTCGGTCACTCGGAACTGAGTGTGTCTTTATGAGTGTCTATGTCTTTTTATCCCGGCCTAAACGCTCCCTCTCATCTGCGTATTCTTCTAGCATGTAAGCTGGAAGGAAATCAGGACCAATTTTGAGGAATTCGTTTGGCGACGTTGTGTCAACACCGCCAATCGAGGTATAACCTTTGTCATAAAGCAGACAATATTCCAAATCACAGCCTATGATGAAATCCCAAATGTCGACGTAATGCCAATGCAAAATTGGATGCACACGGAGAAACTTAGGCCAGTCATGATCGGTCTCTTGTTCATATTGTAACATTGAACCGTACGGGTCGGCATACCTGATACCAACGACGATACTTTTTATGGTAGGCTTTTCATTTAAGTAAAGTTGGAATCCCTCCTTCAATGATGATTTTATGGTAAATGGATTGAGACTGTAGAAATCTGTAGACTCGGTGATGAATTCCAGAACTTCGGGAAACGGCTCCTCGGAATTGATGTAAATCGAGTCAAGTCTATAATTTTTGGGGAGTAGATTCAAAGAAGGGTTTGTGTTAGTCTCTGACAGAAACCGCTTATGAATTGTGGCTAAAAGCAATATGAGCATGACCAAACAGTCCTTACCACCATTATACGATATTGCTATTTCTTCAATGCTGAAACGTTAGAAACATTCAAAAGTTCGCTCATCAATAAAACATACCTGTGTCTCTCTATGAAAGACTCTAGCACCTCAAGGGACTTCTTCACTTTCTCTTTTACAACCTGACGACGCTGAGGGCGGTAGGTGTACCCCTTTGCTCTCGGAGAGATTGCGCCATGGGGTGAAGAGTCATTAAGGAAGTCTTGCACTAAGTCGTATGCCTCTTCACATCTTAGCAAAAAGCTGCACTGTTCCCTATGTTCCTTCTGAGTCATGGGGAATAGGGCTTTGAGGGTATGACGCTGCTGAAAAGTGGTACCGATTCTGGGGTTGAGGCTCGAATGCAGGAACTAGTCAAGGTGAACATTCTAGACGTACGGGAACAAGGCATGGATTCGGAACTTCGGAACCAGCTTTTCAAGCAAAAATAAGTGTTGTTGAGGAACCAAATCAAAGTCTTAAGGGGAGTTCATCTGGCTTTCTTGCTCAGCTTAAATAGAAACTGTATGAAAAACTCCTTGGAGTCATCGTCCCAAAACCACCAGTAGGATTTCGACATTTGATCTGTTCCTGAGGGCTTTTCTATCTCCTGTTGCGCTGGAATAGCAACGCATATATTGTCATAAGGCTCTGCGGAGATAACTAGGTATTGCCACTTCAGAGGCTGAATGTCTTCATCATCCTCATAGTCAGTCTTGTGTCTTTGTAAAAAAGACTTGGATACATTTTGATTTTTGTCTGAAAGTTCATATCCGGACATGAGTCTGAAGAAAGGCTCTTTGACTGTGATACGAGGAAGCTGTACCTGCACTAATAACCCCATACGGAGTGATTCTTGATCTCTGATTTTCGTCGTTTTGAAAGTGGGCTTCCCTATGCTATTCCAGGATCTCTTCAGTATGTTATTGATTGAAACAACATTGCCTTCGGCTTTGCCTTGTCTGTTCTGCTTTTCATCAAGGATTCGCCTTCTTTCTAGATTCAAAGCGTGCTTTCTCCCGCTTAGATGGGAGATGTAAGAAGCCTCATTTGTGTGTGTGGTGAGGCAAAGACGGCATTCTAAGATGCCTACGTGGTTTCTGAAGACATATGGATCGTTCTCGAGATCCAAGACCTGAGATGTAAGAAGCTCTTTGATACGTCTCTTCGTATGAACGTTGGCTTCGGCTGCATCTGCAACCCCTCCGGCGCCCTTTTTGGAGTTCACTCGCTCTGAGTAATCCATTTTCTTCTTTGAGGCTGCTTCAAGTTTTGGATTGACTAGGTGATGAGGTCTTCGAGCCGCGCACTGTGGAGTAACATAGAATTGTACAGTATACGTCAAATGTTTAACCAGTTATTCCAAACACATAAAGCGACAGGAGTATAGATTGCTTCGAAGCTTCACATTGGCCTGTTGATAGCGTCCCTCGACCTCCTAACAATGTCTTGATCCAGTGTATGATTCTTCTTATTGGAGCAGTTCCATGAGCGTGGGGCTATTCTAGCATTCAATTAGCCCTAAATACTTTCAATATAACAGATTTCATTTCTTCAAATTCTTAGAAAAAAATTGGAGCAATCGTTTGATTTTCGAAGGTTCGTAGTATTAGGTTCCGGCTTTGGGTTCTCAGTTCTTGAAATTTCGCAGCCACACCCTCATTACTGCAAATACATAATAACTCGAATTAAAATCAACTTGCCCCATATTAGTTATTTCAATTTGCTGTATGCTAGTTTCGGATGTCACATCTATATATATTGGAGGAACCGTTATGTCTAGCAGTAAGAAATGCTCTGAAACCCAACCTAAGGTACGGTCTCGCGTCAGCTTCAGATATACTTCAACGAATGTCTACTCACGACAGCACAAAAATGCATAAACTTTATGGGTATAGTTCATTTCTAGAATTACAAGGAAAATATTTACTGACACCAAAATTTACATCGAACTATAAACCATTTCTTCTATGGTGTGGTTGTTGTGAGGCACGGGTGTAACACGTCTATCCATGCCGTGCAAATTGTCCCAAATTGGAAAGCTCAAAGCACTTAATCTCAACTTGTTTCGCTAGTCTAGTTCCACACGTTTCAAATAGATACCACAAATATGGAGTCGCCCCAACATGTTGGTGATAATACCGCCAATTCCATTAGTAACCAGTTGAGCGGGACTCATTTACAGAAGCCTTTGATCAAACTTTCATCACCATCCGATTCGGCATCATGTACTTCAAAGGTGTACTCTGCCGTCTATCTGGGACAAAACTTCATAGAAATTGACGTTAAAGTGCAAGCTCCTGAAATTGATACATCATCGATTCAGATCTTGCGTCGCGTTCGTGATTCTTACGTGAATGTTGTTCAAGTGCTACAGGTGTTGGTTTCCTTGGGTCGCTTCGACCAAGAACGGGTTGACAGTCTCCTTGAAAACGATATTTTCACCAATCCTCAGTATTTTCAAGGAGGCAGCGAGGACGATAAGGTTCTTTACAATGACTTGAGAAGCCACGAAATCGCCCAATTGCGTGGCATATGGATTCCTTATGATAAGGCAGTTCTGTTTTCGCTCAACTATGGCATTTACGACATTATCAAGGGCTTACTTCTCGTTGACGTGCATGACTGTGACAAGCTACCCAAAAAGCCGGAATTGTCCACAGGGGTCACGGTGAAACGCAACGCTGATGAGGATATGGCCGACGCTTTGGATGGGTCACCAACAAAAAGAAGAAAAACACAATCGACTGCAGCACAGTCTCTCGTTAAAGCTGCTACAGAGTCGAACACAAACGCACCTTATTGCTTGCCCCCAACAACATTCAAGGAGAAGGATGTCGACATTGTACTGGAAGTGAAACTCAAGTTCAGCGAGATATTCAAGAATGATGGCGAGCTTTCTACAGATCTCTCTTCTACTGACATTAAGAACATGTTTCAAAGCATATTTGACAAGTGCTCCACTCGATTCCACCTGACGACATCTATTTTGGATGTACCATTAGACTCTCAAGGAAAGACCGCATTGCACTACGCGGCAACATTAGCATCGAACTTGGTGGGAATCTTTATAGAGCTTGGCATAAGCTCCCCAATCCGCGGTGACAATGATGGTGAGTCGCCTCTACTCTCGGCAATTCTGGTTACGAATGCTATGGAGAAAGGCAACTTTGTTAGCATGCTCGAAAACTGGCTCTGGCCTAACTTGTGGCTTTTCGACAATAAGCACAACTCCTTTCTACATCATCTTATCGTCCTGGCGACGAAAAACTTCGATGCTTCAAAATTCTATCTTACCAAGATAATAACTTGGATGGTACAGAATGTTGATAAGGAAAAGAACCTTAATAATCTTTGCACAAAAATTATCAACGCTCAAGACTCAGAATCTGGGAACACAGCTCTTCATCTCGCTGGTGAGCACGAGCTCAAATGGTTTATTCACGTCCTTCTCGAACTTAAAGCTGACCCCCAAGTTGCCAACAATGTCGGCGTAAAGCCGTCTGATTTTGAGTCTGTCAAGGAAGTGATCCTGTTGCGTGACAACTATGAAACTCACAAATCATCGGTAGCCGCAACGAAGTCCTTCCTCGAAAGCCTTGGTGCGTCTTCAGATGATGACGAATACTTCTTGCAACTTATTGACACAGGCATTGAATTTTGGGAAAAGACTGGAGGTTGCACTGATGTCGGGAAAATGGAGGATGTCACTGAGAGCACTTCCGAAAAGCGAGTGGGTAATGGCGTGGACGCTAAAGAGGGCTCAGATCAGCTCTCACAATCAGAGAAGATCTTCAAGTCAATTCAAGATTTGATGAGTAATGCTAATGACGAGTATCTGAAAGTTATCAACGATAAAAAGAGAGAGATCAATTCCCTTAACCAAGAACTTCGAGGAGCAACTATCATAACAGCTAACAACAGATTTGTTGCTAAAAAAGTTCTTGAGAAGGTGTCCCTCGTTGATACCATGAAGTTACAAATGGCAAACATCACAGAAAAGTTACAAGTCTTGAAGAAAAAGCTTCCAGATGATGAAAAGGACGAAAATGTGTTCACCAGCGACATTGTGAACCAGGACTTTGTCAAATTTGATGCGGATGAACCTTTTATTATCAAGCCCATCTACGATAAACTTGCAAACAACGAGGAGGTGGAGTCCACGGATGAGTTGTTGGAAACGCTTCCGTCAGCCGAAGTCTTGCAAGCCCGGCTTCTGGCTTACAAAGAGATCAATCAGGATTTAGAAAAGGAGTTAGAGAACTTGCTCAACTACAGTACCTTGACAGCAAAGTTCAAGAAGGTCGTGAGTTACTGCACCGGTGTGGATATTAACGAGGTTGACGAACTACTTGATGGCTTGCTTGAAGCCGTTGAAGGACAGCAATAAAACCTTTGAAGAACTGTATTATGGAAAATATCTAATGCACATAATAAGAGGGGAAAGCTTCTTGTAAAAGCACTTGTGTCATAATCTCCTCCTCAAACCAAACCCTCGTAAGCGTTCAACGAATTCAACAACGAAGGATCATTTTTCACAAGGCGCTTGAAGTCGTTAAAATCCAAGTAGTCGGTATTTGGATCCTTATCTGATAACGTGAAAAGCTTTGCGGCCCGTAATTCCGGAGTTCCTTCATCTTCGGGCAAGGTGACCATGGGGCCCACCATTTTGTATATTGCCGAGGTGATGGCGAGGGCTTCTTTGTAGTAGACTTTTCCATCACGGTTGAGGTCGTAGAGTTTGTAGCTGAACTCGAGTTTCTGATTCACGTCACCTCTAGATGTGAGCGACAATGCCACGATAAACTCCTTGAAGTCAATGAACTTGGAGTTATCCGTGTCGAAGAGACGAAATAAATAGTGGCAATAGTCAGTTGGATCACCAAAGGGGAAGAACTGTTTAAATACCTTAGCAAACTCCTCCTCCGATAGTTGCCCACTTGGACAATCGCGTAGAAAGCCCTTGTACCATTGCTGCAATTCACGCTTATCGAAAAGCGTGCGTTCTCGAAGCAGCTTGAGCTCGTCTTTAGATAGCTTGGACACCGCTTTACCCATTCTTTCAGAGAATAACGCTGGTTAGTTCGACTAAGGTGCTGCGGTGTAGACAGGAAGAGAGCGCACATTCTACACATGGTATGAGCGCCTTCTCCACATCGGTAACATTCTTTTCTACCGCCCACACTAACATGTTTAGAAGAACTCTTCGCCTGGTCTCGACTTCAACGAGGAGACTCGCAGAATATAAGAGGAAGGAAAACCCCTCTTATAATGAGTTGGCAGCCCGGATCGACCCCATCGTCAGAACCGGAGAGTCGATCGATGTCAAGAGGGCTCGCTTGGTTTACCAGTCCAGAAAGAGAGGAATCTTGGAGAGCGACTTGTTGTTGTCGAGGTTTGCCAAGAAGCATTTGCACAAGTTCAGCTACGAGGAGCTTGATGAGTACGACAAGTTGTTGGATGAGCCTGACTGGGACATTTACTACTGGGCCACCAAGAACTACGACGTGACTCCTTTGCCAGACAAGTGGAAGAATCTGAAGATCCTTTCTTTGTTGCAAGCCGACGCTGAGAACCCCGACAAGGAGATCATGAGGATGCCTGACTTGCACTAAGCCTTTGTACATATATATCTTCAATATTTATTACACTTCACTTACTCACGGCTTCAAAAACTCTTTTCATAAGTCAACCACTTGAGTCAAACACCTGCGTAAATGAGTTGTCCCATGGGTTTCGGAAGGTCAAGTCCAATGTGACTACTGCGGTCCTTACTGCATGGGTGATATCAGGCTGTAGTAACCAAGACACCACACCATCATGTCAATCAAACCAGACTCCGTGCCCGCTTCCATTAAAAAAGATATCAATGTCACGCCCTTCATTGCAAGGGCTACAGAGCTTCAGTCAGTCAATCCTGTCGTGAGTTATTACTGCAAGATCTACGTTCTTGAGCATATCCTCTCGAACAAGCTCCACACTACTGATAAGGAAGTGGAGGCTTTCACCATAGCCTTGCTAGAAGATACAGAGCTGATTAAGAATTCGACAGAGGACGAGGACCTTCACAAGATCCTCACAAATCGACAATTGTCATTGAATGTGCTGTTTGCCTTCGTATTCAAATTGTTTCTTAGCACCCTCGAGGGCGTGTCCAATTATGACGGCATTAACAAGATTCCACTTGCTAGCAAGTTGAGAGCGTCCATCAATTTTATGACCTCCCTAAAGGTCTTCACAGGAGAAAGTGACGATTCACTTGACTTCGCTGAGACTACTGGTAGCAAGTGTAAAGACAGAGAAGAATTCATAACCTTCATTAAAGAAAAAACCAAGGTGTTGAAATATCAATTGAGTAAATTGATAAAAGATGAGCTCCCAGTAAAGGGTGAAGATGAGGATCTTGCTAAGTTGGAGGAAGAGGAGGATGAAGCAGCAAAGGTTGCTGACGAGGATGACCAGACTCCTACTTTTCCATCAATTGTCGGTAAAGAGCCATCATCAGAGCCACAAGAAGTGGATTCAAAGCTGCTTGAGTCATCATCGAAGTCGCCTGCTCCACAAAACTCTTCGGCTCAGGACGAGCCTGATCTTCCTTTCAACCTTCCTGGCGCCCCAAAATACGACCCAGAGAGTGAGACAAATGCTGATGAAGAAGAGGTCAAGTTGCCAGGTGCTCCAAAATTCTTGCCTGATGATGACCTATCTCATATCAACAAGGACTCGTCAATAAAGGTATTCCCTCCGGAGCCTACTGAGGAGCGCGAGGAAGAGAAAGTCACACCAAAACCAGCGAGCCGGTCAGGCTCAACGAATAGTGTCAAGCACCACAAGCCCATTACGAAGGAGAATCTCAAAACCATCTTGGATACTGGAGAGCAAATAACGCAAGCTCAGAAGCATGCCAAGTTTGCAATTTCAGCTCTCAATTACGAGGACATCGAGACTGCTGAGAAGGAGCTTCTTCAAGGGCTCGAAGTTCTTCGCTTGATAAAAGAAAACTCATGAAGGTGATTTCATAGAATGTGCCTAGATGTGAGCGCACCATAATGCAACTCTTTTTGCACCCAAATTCCATTTGTACAAGCTACACTAGTTTTCATAATAATGTCACCACAAAACTCCTATTTTCACTCTAATTACTACAGCGGCACGAGGTCCAAGAATATGTTGCTGTCATGCCTGGCATCAACAACTCTCTGGAAGGGGAAAGAGATCAAGGATCTTGTTGAGATAGATCTCGAGGAGAACGCACCAAAGTCTTCCCAAAATGAATCCTCTGACAGTCTCTGGTTTACTTTCTCGAGTCTATTCGGTAACTCGCGGGCGAAAGGCGGAGACGTTTCGAAGAAAGCGGATTCTAGTCCCGATAGTGTCACAGATTACGGTGCCAGCCCGTACTTGGTTCCTTACCCAAAACACGATCTCTCCTCAATCGAAGAAAGCAATGCCACTGGTAACTGCAATGAGCAAGATCCATTAGACAACAGCAGTTTGCAGTTCTACCCTAACCTAACTCCGCCGATTGCAGCACATATGAAGAATGAGCACCTAAGTGTCACATTACCAGCCCCCACATTATTTGAGCCAGTGAATGAGAAATTCCTCTTAGAAGGAAGCTCCGATGGGCCTTGTGAGGGAAGCTTGTTGTCACATTCCGTCACTCCTCACCGGGCTCCAAAATCGTTGAGAACCGATGCGATCAAGGCTCCGCAAAAAGCCCTCCTCAAGTTCAGTTCGGATACATCAAAAGAGATCGAATTATCCCAGGATCGAATGATTCGCCAGACTCATATCAAACATCGTCTTGAATACTTGTTTGAGGATGACTTTATACTAAAGGACAAGGGGCTCCGATTGAGCATAAACAAGAACAACGGGGGCATAACCCTTGCCGCTTTGTTGAAAGACTCGAGGCTCGGGCAACTTTGCCAGAGTGATGCCAATGTTCTCGAGGAGATAATTCGTAACTCTTGCGGCCATTTCTTAGAACTTTTGATCGAGGACAAGATGTACGTAAGACCCAAAGATTGGGTTACCATACTTGCCAATATAAGCTAACAAGCTACCCATACCTGTCAAGAAGACTTTTCTTCCGCTTATCGCTAGCATCTTTCTTCTTTTTGTCCTCCTCCTTTTTCTTCATCATCATCAAGGTAGGACTCGCCTCAACACTGAAACCTAGATCAACTGGAACTGTGTAATCGACGGCTTCTGCATTAGGATTGCTCATATTCGCTAGCTGTTTTTGATATAGTTCTCTCAGCTTCTCTTGCTCGTACTGTTTATTTTGCTCCCATGCAAACTGTTGCATTCGATTGAAATCCTTCTCCTCCTTGCTAGGCTGCTTCACAAAGTCTGACTCATCGTTTACTATACCACGAGTGGAATCCTTGCCTATTCTGATCTTCCCACCCTCATTGGCATTGATCGCCAAAATATATGCTGGTGTATACTTTCTTTCCCTGATGGACTTTTCGATAGGGTCTTCCACGAAGCCTCTTTGAAAATCCTTCCGCTGGATCCCAAGCTCCTGTAACTCTAATTCATAGTCTGTGTCATCACTATCGGATTCTTCAGTATGCTTAGGTTTCTTGGACTTCTTAAGCGAGTCCCATTTTGCAAAGATCTCGTCCCACTCCTCTGCATTATAGCCATGCCAGCGATCTCTTTTAGAAGCAAAGTCATTGATTTCATTTACGGTCTTGCCATTCTCGTCGAAGCCTTGGCCTGCTGTAGGCCCACCTTCAGCTGGAGCACTTGTAGGTTCCTTTCGCTGATGTTTGAAAGCATCGTCTGTACCATGTAGCTCATTGTAATACCAAGGCACATTCAGAATAAACTTGGGGATGTACTGGTTATCTGCGGGCGGCATTGCCTCAGTGGGGCAGATCTAAAGGTAGTACTGGATCGATGGTGATGTTTCGCACCCATTCTAAATATGCAAGGTACTGATGCACAATGTTTGATTTTCTATATTACAATGATGTGTGTGTCGACTAATTAGAAGCCAGTCCATTCTTCTTCGTCCGATTCATCGGAGTCTTCCTTCTCAATGATGCCCCATTCTTGCAATCTCTCGTCTGCAAGTACCTCTTTGCACTTCTCTCTCAAAGGCTTGAACTTTGCATCCTTGGCAGTTACCTCAAATGGCACGAGCAACTTCTTAAGAGGAGTTTTCTTGAGGATCTCCTTCTTCTTTTTGTCGTCCTTTTCACTTGACTCTTCAGCCTCCTCTCCATTCTCGTCCTTATCTTCATTCTCACGCTCTTCATCCTTCTCTTCCTCATCTTCCTCTTCGTCCTCATCATCTTCATCTTTCTCCTCCTCATTCTCCTCTTCATTAAAGTCTCTTAAATCCTTGAAGATAACATACTCAATCTCATCAAGGAAAAGATCACAGATGTGGTACGAGAGCGCCTTAGGCATCTTTGGATCATCACTCAACGGAAGTGTTTGCAAAACCTCAAGGAAATCCTTGAGAGTATCTTTCCTCCAGTTGTTGGCCTCTAGACGGAAAAGCTGGTGTCTGATCACTCTTCTTATCAACATCAAGTACTTGTCGATTCTCCATTTATCTATGGTGGGCCACTCTTTCGAGATAATGAGCCAGAAGGCTTCGTGGAAATCCTTCAATTTTGGTTCAGGAATGACTTCACTGAAGAGTTTACCAATGTTTCCCGCTAAAGCTTGTTGGGGAATAGGTTTGTCACAGTACCACATGGAGTAGTAAAGACCCTTCCAGAGCTTCTCGAATTCTATTATGTCAAGCTTCTTGATCAGTCTATTCTTGAGAAACTTCGTGAGTGCCTCGAATGCTGACAGTCTCACTGCAGCATCATTGTGAGCGAGCTTTCTAACAAAGTTGTTAGCGTTGCCCAGCATTGAGTTCCAAGTGTGTGATCTAGATCTAACTCATCTCCATCGCATCTGCTGCAAAAGTGCTAGGCTCCAATCTGATCACGTGACACGATTTTCGAAAATGGTCTAGAGAATGAAAGTTGGGAAGTGAAAGCTTTAAAATTACAAAGCGACAATAACTGGCTCAATCCTTGTTGGTGGAAGTTGCCCCATTCCAGGCCCGAGCGTGGTACAATGCCGATTGGACTTCTCACATGATGTATCTTGAATTTATTAATACGAAACAGATAAAATATCGTTTAATATGCTAAAGAAATAAGCTTTGAAGTATTCCGGTAGATTTGACTTAAACAATCAAGTATCTGATAGGAATGTGCAACAATTTGACGGCGTAGCCAACGACGCCCATCATAACGAAACCAACACCGACTGCTCTCACAATCTTAAGGTACTCTAAACGATTAGTATTTGTTTATGAATCAGGGTCAAGCCCGTAAAGAGCGACGAAACTTGATATGGAGCTTTGCACAATCGTTGTGCTCTCGGCTTCACATCTTTATATCCTTTTGAGACTTCCACTGTGTTTGATACATACCCTTCTGAGTTGGCTTTTGACACTTTCTAACAAAAGCGGATCCATCCTTGAAGAACTCAACAGGAACTTCCGCAAGCTTCTCGATACCCTCAGCCATAGTGTGTTTTTAGATAGTTGTATAATGCGTGGAAAAGACGCTCAGTGTTCATTATTACGCGGCAACTTGTGTTGCACACTACCACTGGTGATAAGTAAGTATACTGACTTTTAGTCGCGTACTCCGTTACCGTGCCATGCATTATACGTTTTATCTATACCATGAGGCCCAAAAATTTTTCATCCTCTTCTTCTTGCTCCTTCATCAACTTGCTCTCTTCTCTTTCCTTCCGCTTAGCTTCAAACCTCGAGAAGTTCTCCAGTGCATAATTCTCTAATGATGTCTTCATTTCTGCATCAATAGCCCACTTGCGAACCACAACCTCGATAAGCTCGAGTTCACCGGCCTCTCCCTTGAAATCGATCAAAGTCCTGACTGCCCGTTCATACAACACCCGAAGACGTTTGGACGAATTAATCAGCATTTTATGATTAAAAGCATCCTCTGGCAACAGCTGAAAACGCAATTCCAATGTGATCTCCTTGAGAAACTCGAACAACCCATTTTCGTCTTTAGCATCACGAAGTACAAGAAAACGAGACAAATAAGCTCTGGTAGACAAAACTGAACCGCTTTCTTTATAGCAAGTCCAGAGCTCGTCCATGAGCCTTGTTCTATGATTTTGCAAATCGGCAAGGAAAGTCAAAAAGCCCTCGTAATCAAAATTGGGAGAGGACTTTGCTTTTGATAAACTTGGGTTAAGTTTGCCTCCGACCTTGGTGTCGGTATTTCTGAGGAAGAATTGGAGAGAACGTTCCTCAGAAAACCTGGTGAGGAATTCGGCCCAGTCGAACACCATATCCCATAGCTGCTTTGAATCCTTGCCCAATTCAATATTGTAATGTTCTTGGAAAGCATTCAAGTAAACCATTGCCTTTACTGTTTGGTCGTTGTAAATCAAAGACACGACAATTGTAGACAATATATCAACGTCAGGATAACGAGGGTCGTCTTGGGGAATCTTCTTCTGTAAGCGGCCTTTGCCATCAATACCCCAAACTCCTTCTATGAATTTACAAATCTGGGCCTTGTCCTTAGAATGTGACATCGCACCCATTACAGCGAGTATTGAAGACTTCTCGAATGAAAACTGCGAGTTTCCCAGCATAAGATGCTGATTCTTGGCGAACTCATTGAAAAGTTCGAGCCAGTGGGCATGAGACAAGAACATCGATCTCTTTCTATCTCTGCGTCCTCTGTTGGTCAACGTTCCGTCCACCTTCCAGTTTCTCGACTCTGCGTTACCGTAGACGTAGAACCTAAGAAGCCACAAGTTGTAGGACATTCTCAGATAGTGCCCATTGTCTGGATACTTCTGTTCAAATCTTTGATACCACTTGGATGCCAAATCCATCTTACAGTTTTGCAGCTCGAGCTGAATCAAGTTTTCGAAGTCTCGCACTGTCAAGTCGTAATGGACGTCACCCAAGGAACCTCGCTTGTCCTTGTGATAGATGTGCTGTGACTTATCGCCCCCAAAGAGGAGGTTGGAGTAGATTCGTCTTATACCGTTTCTGAAGTCTTTGGCCTCTAATGCCAATGGTGTTAATGGAGAGTAGTCGTCTTTAATGACATTTTCTGTTCCCATAGCACGATAGACCCACGCCTGTCTATTTACAAGCTTCTCCATCACATAGGAGAACTCACGTGGGCTCAAGAGTTCTTGGAACTCGTCGGCTGTGTGGGCTTCACTCCAAGAGATCAAGGCGTTCAAGACGAGATTGTATTGACCACGCTTTAGGAGATCATTTATCTTGTCTTTGACTTCTTTGCTAGCATCTCCAGTTTCAATTATGGTCGGTTTCAGAAGATTTCTCGGAAGCAGATCAAGGAATGTGTTCGATGGTGCATTTTCCAAGATGCTAGAAATGGTGGAGGTTTTTCTTGGTTGAGAATCTTGAGTTTCTTGTGCTTTGCAAGCAGCATGGATGTTGAAAAGTCGATAGACATCCTTGCGTAGACGTTCTGTCTTACGGGCGCTTCCTATGGCTCCTCGAATCATGTGCTGGGTATTTGGATCTGAAGGGCTTAAGATTGTCCTTGTGAGCTTCAACATTTTTTGCACCCTCGCTGTAGTTCTACAACGGTGTTCTGCACGTGACGAGACCGTGAACACCTTGATCCAGCTTTTGTATATACTCTTCTTTGTATTCATATAAATATCTTAGAGCTTCGAAGGCATTCCGGAGGTTATACCACCCACAAGGTAGATGGAGTTGTACTCGGCAATGTCCTTCAATCCCTGCTCGTGGTTACCACCATTCACCATGTACTGGATGGAGTCCTTAGTGCCCTTGATGGCCCATTGTGGGTTGCTGTTGATCAGCTGGCCCAATTCGATACAACGGTCGACACCTGTCTTTAAGTCCGGAACAACTTCAGACACGAAGCCCAATTCAAAGGCATCTTTAGCTCCGAAGATATCTCCGGTCAAGGCCAACTGGTTCATCTTGGACTTGTTGTTGACAAGGTTGGTCATTCTCTGCAAGGAGCCCATGTCAGCAACAATACCGATCTTGATCTCTCTAATAGACATTTTCACACCCTCGACGGCAATTCTGATCGTACAAGCAGAGGCAATGTCCAAGGCCAAACCATAAGAAACACCGTTCAAGAGAGCAATTGTGGGAGTTCTCATTCTGGCGGGCATGGTAATAGCGTCTTGGAAGTCCTTGATGTGCTTGTACATGAACTTCTTCTTGTTTTCAAAAGACCAGTCATCCTTAGCGTTCATCAAGGTCATGGCAGATTTCAAGTTCAAGCCACTGGAGAATGCCTTCTCGACCTTGGATGACAACAAGATGATGTTGGTGCCGGGATCGGAGTCCAACCATTCAAGGATGTAGTGGTAGGCTCTCCAATCTTCCTCAGTGAAGGCATTGAGAGTTTTTGGGTTGTTGTATTGAACATGGATGAAGCCGGGTTCAACCTCAGTGACGACCCACTTGGTAAACTCCTCAAAAATACTGCTGTCGAAAGTCATGGTGTGAAAGAAGTACTAGTATGAAAAGAGGATGGAGATAAGATTGTCGCTAAGTACCCCACAGATTGGCCCGAGGGATTTTTCCGCACATGAATTTATACACAGCATTTCGTACTCACTATACCTTGTAGCGACCCGAGGATGCAGCAACATCATCTTTAGCGTTTTCTAGTCCCTCAATGATTTTTTGACGGAGTAACATATTGGCATCTCTCACGCTGTTTTCTGTCAAACCCTCGACGAGCAAGTACAATTTTGGAGGTGCTGGCACTTCCTTGCCTCCTTGCTTCACTGTTGAAGGCACCTTGCTGCCAGGTGGATAGTATTGCCCCTTATTAGTAATTGAAGCGGATGTGTTTTCTGAAATACCAGACAAATTATCAGCATTGACCACATTCCATCTCGCGGACTGTGGAAGATCATTGATTGTGACTCTTGAGTGATACTTGCATCGGTCGGGCCCGGTGGATTCAGATGCCCTTCCTTCGATAACATCAAATTCGGGTAAATCAACCCCATTGACGACCTTTGCGTCACTAGAAATAGGCTTGCTTGTAGCCGCCGAGCTTTCTCGTGATTTGTCTGATTCTTGCGTTTCCGTCGAATACATGCTCCTCTCTATCTTCTTGTTCGTGTCCCGGACCTCGTCAAGCTTGCTTAATCCCTTACCACCAAAACCAAAATGAAACTTCTCCTTCCCATCCTTAACCTTCGAAAGAAAGCTATCAGCAATTTTGACTAGTTTGGGATCAATTTTATCCTCTGGATACTTGCTAAGTCTTAATGCCTTAACCAAATCGGTGATGGGTCGTTCTTGGGCTGGTGTGACGAATGTATAAGCATCACCCTCCTTACCAGCCCTTCCAGTTCTTCCAACACGATGAACATAGTCTTCCATATGGTTAGGGGGGTCAAAGTTGATCACCAAATCAAGACCCTTCACATCCAAACCTCTAGCAGCCACTGATGTTGCGATCAAAGTGTCGACACCGCTATCAGGATCTGAAAATTTTTTGATCGCGTGTTTTCTGTCGATTTGTTCCTTTCCTCCGTGAATGGTTATGGATTGTAGACCTTGACCCAACAACTTCACGAGCAAACCATCCGCAGATTCCTGCTTTTCCACAAAAACTAATTTTTTCACGTCAGGATATGATCTCAAAAGTTCTTGTAGTCTTTGGAACTTTCGCTCGAAAATTTCTGTCAGGGTTGTATCGTCAGAGAGATCGAAAAGTTCGACATGTTGTTTGATCTCCTGGGCCACCACACTAATGCCACCAACCACAACTTCAACAGGGTCGCTTAAGGTGTCTTTTGCCAAGGATTCCATTTTTTTGGCAAATGTAGCAGAAAACAAAACACATTGTTTATCAGGTCTGATCTGAGAGAAGATCTTTTTAATTTGCGGTTCAAAGCCAAAATCAAACATACGGTCGGCCTCATCGAGAACCACATATGTAACTCTCTGTAAATTACAGACTCTCCCGTTATTCGTGGCTAATAAATCAATGAGACGACCCGGGGTACATACAACGATTTGAGCACCCCTTTTGAGCTCTGCAATCTGTGGTTCGATGGAAGAGCCACCGTAGCAGCAACAGGCAGACAATCCAAGTTTCTTAGTAAATGTCGTAAGCTGTTTGAATATCTGCTGGGCTAACTCTCTAGTAGGGGACATAAGGACTGCAATTGGGCCATCACCTTCCTGCAAAGGGGGCTGGTCTTGTACGTGTCGAAGTAAGGGTAAAACGAATGCGAGGGTTTTTCCTGAGCCTGTCTTAGCAATGGCAAGCATATCACGCCCAGAAAGAATGACTGGCAATGCTTGACTTTGTACGCTCGTTGGTGCCTTGAACTGTAGCTTGTCCTCAATCAAAGATTGTACGACGGATGAGAAGCCGATCTGCGACCAATTCCACACTGGATTGGGGCAATTTTTTCCGGTCACCTTGATACCACCAAGTTTCAGTCTGAGATCGTGAACCTCTTCTTTAGTGAGCAGACTCACCTCGTGGGACTCAACATAGAAGTTTTTCTTGAACTCAAGATAGTCGATCTGACTATGATCCACGGCTGCCAACTCCTTTCCAGTCTGCATGGCTTTGAGCTGAAGAGCACGTAAAGGGTCATCCTCATTATCTTCTTCGTCCAGGCTGTCTTCCAGTTGAACACCTAGAGAGAGGGTATTTTCGTCGCGTTGATCATCCGCAAGCCCTTCTAAGAACACATCAAGAGCATCTTCGCCATCCTCCTTAATCAGTTTGGTGTTCAGTTTGGAGTTTGGAAGCGTGGGAACCTTGAAAGCTCGTATCTTTTCCTCATCATCGTCCTCGTCCTCGAAAACTTGCTTCCTCTTCGAAGAATCTGCTTTTTGAATTGGCTTAGCCCGAAGTTTAAAGGAAGTCGACTTTGATTTTGGTGCTGATGGTTTATCATCATTCTCGCCTCCTCTCTTCCTTTTCCATTCAGCTAATTTCTTTTGTCGAAGTGCTTGTTCATCTGTGGCATTGTTTTGCGATTGAAGCTTCTTTTTCTTCCACTCCTCGACTTTTTTGAGTCTTTCGAGACGTCGTTGCTCCTCTGGAGTAGGAGAAGCACTTGGAGGTGTAGTGTTGACTTCAATGCTTGTGCTCTCAGAGCTTACGCTTGGAGACTTCGATTTTCTTTCTTTCCATTTGGCCAACTGAGCCTGACGTTGCCTTATCCTCTCTTCCTTGGTGAGAGCTTCCGACATGAGTTAGTGAGCTATTATAATATTTGTGTTTGAAATTTCGAACCTTATGTTATATGTTGTGTGATGGGTTTCAAGTTTACGTTTATGCGCGATGGATTTGAGATGCAGAGTACTATCAATATATGTGCGTCATATATAGGATATCGATTGTCACTTACTCACAAATTGGTTGTCACCGTCACTGTTTGTGAGTTTAGTAAAAGCGTTGGAGGAAGATTGTCTAACCAAATGGCAAGACTATTGGTGTAGTCAAGTGATGCACTATCATCCAAATGCGTTCCGATCACTGGGGCTGGAAGTGTGGAGAAAATCACTGCAGTCTTACCATCCCCAGAGATCTGCCTCATGAGCTCGTTTAAGATAATATGTTGACCTTTTGCTGGTAAATCATTGAATGTGAGGCTTTTCAATTCTTCCAGAAGTTGTCTCAGGGTAAGCTTTTTGGCCATGGGGGCGCTATCCGAATCTGTTGTATCTGTAAGGTGATTCAAACTCTCGCCATGTATGTCTTCGTCGTCATCGTCTCCCGTGACAAATTTGGGTGATCTGATATGCTCCTTAATGTCATCATTAGCAATGATGGATGTGGCCCTCTTCATGCTGGGCCTCTGCGCAATTGAAAGTGAGCTTTCGTTTCTTGGTGTGAGCACCTTAGCAGCCAAACTCTTTTCCGCTGGATCCTTCAGAGGGCCCTTTGTCTTGTCTTGCTCATCCTCGATGAATTGAATCAGCGGCTTGTTCGTCTCGTCATGCTCATCATCTTCATCTTGAGGCGCCAGAGGCTCTTCATCCTCCTCATCTCTAACTCTAGATTGGGGTATCTTTACCGACAGGAAGTTTGGACGAAGATTCGACATAGATGATTTAACCGAGAGCTGGTCAGAGGACATAGCACCAAGTGAAGTGGTGTACTTTGCCATGAGAGCGTTACCTTGCTTGTTACCATAGTCTCTTTGAGGGTGGCGTTGCTGATTAGCAGATGAGGGTGGCGGATTTGGCGTCCTCGCGGGTTTCTTTCCCAAAGGTGAAGATTCCTCAGATGGTCGTTGTTCGGGACTGGAGATTTCAGGAGTAGGCTGCTTACCGGTACCATCCCCAACACTGCTGTGAACACTGCCTTCCAATTCGCTATCACTGCTGTCTTCCGACTCGTAGGCATAAAAGCTTTCTCCACCTTGTGCCTTCATGTTGAAGGAGAGCGACAAGCCTTGACCATGCAAGTTTGATAAAGTGTAACGTCTGTTATTTTTAAGACTTGGGCCGGTGATGGGTGAGCTGTTACTCTTTGAAAGATTGAACAGGACAGGGTCATACTTCCGTTCATCTTTGATATCGATGG